GGGACATCTCTGTGCTGGGACATCTCTGTGCTGGGACATCTCTGCGCTGGGACATCTCTGTGCTGGGACATCTCTGTGCTGGGACATCTCTGTGCTGGGACATCTCTGTGCTGGGACATCTCTGTGCTGGGACATCTCTGTGCTGGGACATCTCTGTGCTGGGACATCTCTGTGCTGGGACATCTCTGTGCTGGGACATCTCTGTGCTGGGACATCTCTGTGCTGGGACATCTCTGTGCTGGGACATCTCTGTGCTGGGACATCTCTGTGCTGGGACATCTCTGTGCTGGGACATCTCTGTGCTGGGACATCTCTGTGCTGGGACATCTCTGTGCTGGGACATCTCTGTGCTGGGACATCTCTGTGCTGGGACATCTCTGTGCCAGGACAGGACATCTCTGCACTGGGACATCTCTGCACTGGGACATCTCTGCACTGGGACACTGGCACAGCCCTGTGCAACCTCCTGATCTGTGAAGAGCTGTCCCAGCAGAGAGATGTCCTGGGGCAGAGCTGTCCCAGTGCAGGGATGTCCCAGCACAGAGCTGTCCTGGCAGAGGTGCAGTGACAGAGAGTTGCCCCATGGAGAGCTGGTGGCAGAGAGTTGTCCTAGACCCCTGCCCTGTCCCCCAGGACCCCAAGTGTCATCCCAAATCCCTGCACACGTGGTGTCCCTTGGTTCTCTCCCCCCATCCATGAGAAGCACCCAGTGCCTGCCACCTCCTGCCCTGGAAAAGGCAGCTCTGCAGGGGGGGAAACTGAGGCAGGGAGTAGAAAATGTCCCCAGGTTCTGTGGCAAAATCCAGAGCAGCAGGGAGGAGCAGGAGGTGCTTCTGTAGGGACAACTCTGTCACCCCCTGCCTGGCTGAGGTGGTGGCAGCTCTGGTCCCCAATCCTCCATCTCAGGGTGTTGAGAACATCAAGACCCGTGGGGGCTTGGGGAGGGGGTCATGGCCCCTGGAGGGGACAGACCCCACGTGGGGCAGGGATGAAACAAGCCCTTCACAACTTCAGAATGACAAGATGTGATGTCCTAGCTGGGGTTCCAGCTCCTGGCAGGGCTGGGTGGGGAAGAAAGGGAGGAAGGATCTGCTGTGACTCCCACGGACCATGGGCTCCAACCTCACGACCTTGGCGAGGTTCCAGGTGGGAGCAGCTCATCCCCCACCTCCACATCTTTCATCTCACCCATCCTGCCCAGCACTGATCCCGCCCAGGGTGTCCCAATCCCCCCCAGACATCTGACTGGAGCCACCAGGGTGTCTCCAGGAGCCCCGTGGTGCCCCTTGGCTGCTGTTCCTGCAGGTATAGAGGGGGGGGTGTGATGTGGGGGGGCTTCATTTTGGGTGGCAGTGACAACCCACCTCCCTGGCAGCATGAGGTGCCTGTTTTTGGCAGGTTGGTGTCTCCCCACCAGAGCTGGGGGCCCCCTCAACACCCTCCCCTACCCATTTGTGCAACCAGTTGATGCCTTTTATTCTCTCCCCCCCACCCCAGCATGGGCACCCATGGCCAGCAGGACCCCTGACCCCCCTGCTTGGCTTTTCCCAGCCCAGAGATGTTGGGGTTTTCTGGTTTCCCTGCACCATTGCCTTTCCCTCCCCATCTTTTCCCATCCCCACGTCCCTTCCTGGTGGAAACCAGTCCCAAAATCACAGAGGGAAGACAAATCCATGGGAAGTATCTTGCCAGACACCTTGGGTTTCCTTCTCCTCATGCTACAGAGCAAGCTCTGCCACATCTCCACTGGTCCCATGGTTCTCCAGGGGGTGTGGGACCTCCTCACCCACCATGAATCATCAAGCCCCACACACCTCACATGACTCTTCTGCTGCTGTTGTCCCATAACTCCACTTTTCCAACCACTTCTGCTGGGGGGGGGAAAGTGAATCATGGAATCCTAGAATGGTTTGGGTTGGAGGAGAACTTCAAGATCATCTAGATCCAACCCCTCCCCTGCATGGGCAGGGACAGTTCAAGAGTCCTTGGGCTCAGACACCCCATCTCGTGGTGGGGGTCCAAGGGTGGGCACCCTGAAGCTGAGCAGAGGTTGGGTGTTCACCAGAAATCACCCCAAAAATGCCCCATGAACCCCAGCTCAGCAGGGTGGGGCTCCTTGCAAAGTCCTTGTGGTGGCTGAGGAGGCAACAAGGACCATTCCTCAGGTGAAACCTGTTGTGGGACAACTTGGGGACAACCTCCAGGGAAGCTGTGGCTGCCCCATCCCTGGCAGTGTTGAAGGGCAGGTTGGATGGGGCTTGGAGCAACCTGGGCTGGTGGGAGATGTCCCTGCCCATGCAGGGGGGTTGGATCTGGATGATCTTGAACCCAAACTGGTCTGGGATGCTGTGCTGAACCTGGCTGAGCTCCTCTGAAGGACAAAATAGTGTCACCTCCATCAGACACCATCCCAAGGGACAGAGGGATCCCACGTGGCTGGGGGGGAGGCTGGAAGGGTTTGTACAGATGGAGCAGAGCAACCAGGAAGGTCCTGGGGGCTGAGGAGAACAGTTCTGAGATGGGCCCAGGTGATGTCACCTGGAAAATGGAGACCAAAGAGCTGGGATCTGCTGCCTGGGAGTGTGTTGGACACCCTGGAAAGATCCAGGGTAAAAAAGAAAAGATGCAGCAGAGCCTGGATGAAGTTTGGGTTGGAAATGAGAGGAGTGTCCCCACCAGAGCTGAGCCCACAGCAGTGGGTGCTAATACACCTGAACAACCTCCAGCAGCCCCACCTGGGACCCCCCACCCATGGCCCAGGGGCTCCACAAGCTCAGCCCAGGCCAGGCTGTCCCTCTGTGCTGCACAGGGACTTGTCCCCAGCCTCATGGGTGGGTTCTCTCTTGGCTGAGCTTCTTGAAGGGATGTTGAAGCCCATCCCTGGTCCTGCCTTGGGGATGGACCTCCAGCCTGTCCCCTGGAGGAGCTTTGGGGTCCCCAAAAGCTGGGGACAATGAGCTGGGTGCTCCTTTTTGGGGGGAAAGGGGTGAAATTTGAGGAGAAGAATGGAGGAGAAAGAAAAAGGTGTGACCTCTTCTTTCTTGGTGGCCAGAAAGAATGAGGACCAAGGGCAGGGAAGGAGCTGTCTGTGGGCAACACCTGGCTGGTAGTATTTTAATAAAGCAGCAGATGGTCCCACCAAAAGCCTGGGCTGAAACCAGCTCATCTCTGCTCTGCTGAGGGCTCAGAGGGTGACAGCTCTGGGGTCAAGGTGAGCACCTCCCTGCCCTTTCACTTGGGTCCCTGTCACCAGGGTCACTCAGCCCCATTCAAGGGACCCACTGTCATTTGGGCTGCAAGGAGGAGGCAGGTCCCATCCTGGTCCTCCATGTCCCCATCCTGGTCCTCCTTTTCCCCATCCTGGTCCTCCATGTCCCCATCCTGGTCCTCCTTGTCCCCATCCAGGTCCTCCACGTCCCCATCCTGGTCCTCCTTGTCCCCATCCAGGTCCTCCTTGTCCCCATCCTGGTCCTCCTTGTCCCCATCCAGGTTCTCCTTGTCCTCATCCTGGTCCTCATTGTCCTCATCTTGGTCCTCATTGTCCTCATCCAGGTTCTCATCGTCCCCATCCTAGCCCTCCTTGTTCCCATCCTGATCCTCCTTGTCCCCATCCAGGTCCTCCTTGTTCCCATCCTGGTCCTCATTGTCCCCATTCTGATCCCCCTTGTCCCCATCCAGGTTCTCATTGACCTCATCCTGGCCCTCCATGTCCCCACCCTGGCCCTCATTGTCCCCATCCTGGTCCTCCTTGTCCCCATCTTGGTCCTCATTGTCCTCATCCTGGTCCTCCTTGTCTCCATCCAGGTTCTCATTGTCCCCATCCTGGTCCTCCTTGTCCCCATCCTGGCCCTCCTTGTCCCCACCCAGGTCCTGGCACACAGGGATTAGTGTCACATCACTGGTGGCTCATTCAGGGCTATTTTTAGGAGTCCTGTCTATTTTTAAACGGGTGGTGGTGGCAGCAGGGGGGGGAGGTGGGTGTGGGGGGGTGTTAAACACCTTCCTGACACTTGGTACCTGCTGAGGACTGGAATGTAAAGCAGGATTTGGGCTTTTCCCTCCTTCCTGAGGGGGAATGTGAGGGATTTCTAGGCTGTGGTTGCTGGTACAGAGAGAGACCAGAGCTGGGACTGGCTGGTTTGGGGTGATGACCTGGTGATGGTCTCATTCCCCCAGTGGATTGGGGTGGCTTTGTCCTCCTAAAAGCCTCAGGGTGTCCTCAGCATCTCCTGGAGGTGCCATGGGGGTGACTGAGGGTGGAGGAGGAGCTGGAGTGGGGCTCCATCTCTGGAGAAGGAGAGAAGCTGGAGGAGGATCCACCCCTGGGCACGGAGCAAGGACGTGCTGAACTGCAGCACCAACCACTTCAGCCCAGCCCAAAAACCAGCTCCCACCAGCCAGCCCAGGGTGCTCCCCTCACCCCACCAGTCCCCACGCCCAGTGAAAAGCCTGGATGCCCAAACTGGGCCGTTCACCTCCCCAGCTGAGGCAGGTGTTGAACATCTGGAGCATCTCTGGTTGGTTTTCTGTGGGGTTTTTGGGCAGCGGCTGCAAATGGGACGTGGAGGTTCCTGGTTTGGGGGCTCCAGCTGCCACATTTTGGTCCTGCTTGTTTTCCTAGTGAGGAGCTAAAAGCTCCTGGCAGCTTGAGAAGCTGCTGGAGAGGCGAGGGACGAGGAGGGGGGATGAGGAGGGGGGATGAGGAGGGGACTTCAAAGGCTTCGTGGCCGCTAATTGGCGATGCATAAATTCCCGAGGCTGGGGAAGGAGCTGGGAGCTGCTGGGATCAAAGTGGTGGGATCTAAGGGCTCCTTCAGCCCAGCACGGCCTTTGAAGAGGGTGGGAAAAGATGCTGGGTGGTTGGGGGGGGGGGGCTGGGGTAGAGGGAGATGAAAGCAGGGTGGTTTTGCTGCCATGTGGGGGGGGACACCTGGGTGTGTTGCCCTCCCGTGAGGGTGCAACTGTTTTCCCAACCTGGAGCAAAGCCAGGCTGGGAGAGGAGCAGGGGTTTTCCTGCACCACCCCCAGCGTGTGCTCCCCCAGCACCTTGCTGGCAGATTTTTGGGGGTCCAAAGCATCTTCCTGTGCCCTGCAGCCCCTTTCCCACCTTGGATCTGACCCTCCAGCCGGGATGCGTGAGGGGCCGTCGGGACCCACACCAAGAGAAGTCCCCAACCCTCTTCCCAAAGCATTCCAAAGACACCACGGCCTTGAACACCCAATTCCTCCCTTCCAAAGGGAAAAACAAAGCCTCTAGCAGAGCCCCCATTACCCCCCAACCCACCTCTCCCAGAGCAGGGACCTTCCTGCACCTCCCAAAGCGCTTCCCAGCCCTGGCGAGGTTGAGTCAATATTTAATAAGGACTCAATGATGATTTGGAGCTGGGGAAGGGAAGCTGGGTTGCAGGGACCTCTCTTCCCTGAGCTTATAAATGCAGGGGCTCTCAGCATCGTTTGCAAGCTCATCAGCCACTGAAGAGTTGGCAGTGATGGTGCAGCTCCTCCCCAACAGGTTGTTATTAGAATAATAACCCGCCCGCTCACCCGCAAAACTTCCCTTGATGGCAACATGATGAAGGTGTTTATTCTCAGGAAGGGCTGGATTTTTCCTCCTGCCAAAGGCTTAGAGGGGACCTGCTGGCTGCTTGGTGGCATCTCATGGATGCCAGGGTGATAGGACACTTCCCATGGGATTATTCTGGGGGGGGGGGTTGTACTTTATCTCGCCCGGGTGTTTCCCACTGCTGAACGTACCCCAGGGGTGGTTCCCAACTCCCAGCACTAACCCAAGGTTGGGAAGGAGCTGAAGCCACACAGTGGAGCTACCTGGGATCATCCTGGGGTATCTTCTTCCCGGTGGCATCACCCTCATTCCCACGGGGAGAAGGCAGGAGGGTGGGAGGAAGGGCAGGGTGCCACCTCCCCTGCCTGGTTTCTGCTTCCAGTGGGTGATTTCCATCCCAGGTTTGAATAATCATTCTCCCTGCACATCCCACAGCCCTGGCTGGGATGCTGAGGGGTAATTATGGACACAAAAAGGGAAGAGTGGGAGCAGAGAGGCTGGTAAAACCTCCTGAATCCAATGGGCATCTGGGGTGGCAGCCTGCAGGTGGGAAGTGCTCCTGGGAGGCAGGGATGGAGCCTGGACCAGGGGCTGGGACTCATGGGATGCCCAGATCCAGATCCCCAGCCCCACTGAAAGTCTCTCCTGGAGCATCCTACAGTCCTGGCTGAGTCCAGGGACAAGCAGGGACAAGCTGGGAGAAAAGCCTTCTGTGAGCCAGGGCTGGCAGCAGGCAGGTGGGTTTTGGAGCTGGATCCATCTCTGGGTGAAAGTCCAGGGATTTTGATGGCTCCAGAGGTTATTTTTGTCAAGGTGGTGATGACCTGGCTCCTTCTTCCAGACCTGCCAAGCCCTGCTGCTCAGGTCCTCTCACTAGAAGGACCAGGAAGGTCCAGGTCCAGCATCACCCAGTTCCCTCCAGCACCACCCAGTTCCCTCCAGCATCACCCAGTGAAGGTTTTCTGACTCTGGAGGTGCCTCTGGAGCAGCAGGATGGGGCCCACAGCTGCCCCCCCCATGGCACATCCAGCCCCATGTCCCAACCCACACAAGCAGGTGGCTGCAGGGCTGGACATTCCCAAAGCCTCCATGGCTTCTCCATTGGAGAACACACCAGTATCACCAGTACCAGGGCCCTGGGGGGGGAATAATGAGATTTAACAACCCCCAGCAGCCCCTCCTGGGACCCCTCCAGGAGCCTGGTTGTGCTCAGGGCCATCAGACCCTGCCTGGGGCTGCAGGGCTGCCTGTCCCCAGCCTTGTGCCCATGTCCTGGCCCTCACCTCTGGCTGAGGAAGAGCACCAGGAGATGCAGGGTAGACAAGCAGAAAAGCTTGATGTTTTAATTCTTCACTTTCACCAGTAGCCTGGAGTTTGGGATTTGCCAGCCTGGTGTCTGCCACGTTCTGTTCTGGCTGAGCCTGAAGGAGATTTCCATGTAGTGCTCCCTCTGAGGGATCCAGGAGACAAGGGGTGGAATTTCCAGAGCTTCTAATGCCCAATATCTGCTTGGGTTTGGGAAAACCAGACCTCTTGGTTCTTTGGGAGCCCAGTTTAGCCTGGTTGGACTGGTGTGGTTTAGCTCTGGAACCTGCTCTTGCCCTGAGTTTGAGGCTGTTTTGTCTAACTCAATGTTTGCAAAGTCCTGTGGGTCTGGTGTAGGAGTTGGGTTGAGAAGGTTTGGGACCCACCCTGTGGTGGGGACCAGGTGGTTGGATCTACACTGACCTGACTGTCCCCTGAGGTGAGAGGCTCTTCTAGTGCAGCTATGGGACACGGGCTGGGAGGTCATCACCAGTGCCCAGGGATGTGCCAGCTCCATGAAAAAACCATCTCCAGGCCTCAGTACTTCCCAGCACCCTCTGGAAAAGCCATCTCATGGGGCATGGATGTCCTCCCTGGCACAGGGTCTCCCTGGGGTGAGGGAGGGTGTGCTCTGGTCACCCTCTGCTTCTGCTCCTCAAGGCACAGGGACCTGCTGTGCCCAGTTCAGCTCTCCTGCCCTCCTCTGTTACACCTCCTCCTTTGAGCCTGCCTCCCAAAAAGGTGTCCCTAGGGAATGCCAAGAGCCCTTTACCCCTTCCCCACGTGAAGGAAGATCTCCAGGGATGCCACAACCAGGTGGAGACCCCGAGGGGACAACGTGGTGGGATGTGGCATCTCCTGCATCCCTTGGACAGAGCAGAGCCATCTCAAGGGAGGACACTGCCTCCCAAGGGATGCTTGGGGCTGGAAGGTGTCACCTCCCTGCCCATGGCCACCTCTGCACCGAGGACAACGCTGACCCACCAGCACCAGCCCTCTGGGTGGCACCCAAATGTCACCCACCCACCCGGGGCTGCCCTATGGTGAAACCTTCACCAATTCCTGCCCTTCCTGGGCTGGGGGGGTGGGGGGGGAGGATGAGCTTTCCCACTGGATGTGACCCCAAGCTTGGCTCAGGGAGGGGATGCAAAACCCCTCCAGCCCCAGCCACCACCAAACTGCTGCCCTGTGCTCCAGGCTCCCCTGTGCTTCCCACCTGCTCCTTCCCCCCCTCCCCATCACCTCCTGAGAGCTCCCAACCCACCAGCCTCCTCCAGGTCCCCTTCCCCTGGCAAAATGTGAGCCACAGAAATACTCCATCCCCACCAAACCTACTCTGCTGTGCTGGGAAAACACCCCCCTAACCCCCCCAAAAGCAGAACCAACCCTGGCACGGAGCTGCTGGCACCAGCCCCC